GGTATTGGGGGGGGTTATGAGGGTGCTGGGGGCGGTTTAGGTGTGTTGGGGAGGTGTATGGGACCTACTGCTGGCACCGGTTCAAGCTTAATGATGGGGAAGCACTGCAGGCGAGGGGAAAGAACGGCCTGTTACAAACTTGCAGCTGGGGAAGCACGGCAAGCTATTTCAGAGCGGGAAGAACATTGGTTGATCTCAGAGGGGGAAGAGCAGCGGACGATGTCAGCGAGGGAAGCATGCTAGGCGATACCAGCGGGGCAAGCACGCCAGCAATTGCAGCAGCAGAAGCACAACAAAGTCATTCCAGCCGGGGAAGCCACAGTGGGCGATACCGGTCGAGGAAGCAGGGCAGGCAATCGCAGAGGGGGAAGAACGGTGAGTGATTGCAGAGAGGGAAGAACTGCGAACGATTTTAGAGGGGAAAGTATGGCGGGCAATTGCAAAGGGGGAAGGACACAAGGGGTTGCAGCAGGGCAAGTACTGCAGGCGATTGTAAGGGGGGAAGAACAGCGGGTGATTGCGGCAGGGAAAGCATGGTGAGGGATTGTAGCGTAGTGTGATGGCCGAAGACGGCTGGCGACTGCAGCAAGATAACAATGACAGGGAATTGAAGTGGGGGAAGAAAGGCAGGCAATTGGAGCGGGGAAAGCATGGAGGGGAACCCATGGTGTGCTCTCTTGTTGCCCTTCCAATTATAGGTCAGCCTGCAAGGCAACTTGGTCTGCTCTTTGCTCTCGAGCATGGAGACAATATTCGTTGCAAACGAAGTACCTGTTAGATCATGTATACCAGTGCTTTAATCACACTCCCACGACACACCCAGGGCAGAGCGGGGGCATTCCAAGCTGGGAGACTCCCAGTGGTCCCCGGTCGCTCAGCGACCGCCCTCTCCCAACTGTGTACGTCCTAAGCATAGCCACCAGGACACTCTACGGCCGGGACCCCCCATACAACATCTACACAGCCTTGAGACCGTTCCCCCCTGGGATACCTTGACAGTCTTCCGGCTTGGAATGGCCCCGCTCTGCCCTGGGTGTACCGTGGGAGTGTGATTAAGGCACTGGTATACATGATTCAGTAGGTACTTGGTTTCCAACGAATATTGTCTCCATGCTCGAGAGCAGAGAGCAGACTGAGTTGCCTTGCAGCCTACCTCATTCCATTGCTAGGATAGATGTCATCATACCTGTTGCTTTTGGGTAACAAAAGGGAGGGGAGGAGGTGGGGAGTGAGGGAGGGAGAGCTGAAGGGCCAGGTCAAGGGAGTGATTGATGAGGACTGTTGATCGATATCATACCTTGTCGATGACTGCCATTGCGATAGTGTCATGGCCCCTGTGTCCGTCCGGGAACCTGAGTCCAGTCCCAGGGTCCTCCCTGGACCCACAGAATCTAACTTGTCCTGCTTTGGCACCCACTTCAGCACCCGCTTTCCCAACGGTTGCTTTGCCCTCCTCCTTGCAATCCTCTTTGCAAACACTTCCCTGCGTTGGGATTGGATAGTTGCAAGTGCACGACGGTCGATAAGGACCACATGAAGTCTTGCTGTCAGGTACAACGTTCCTTCGAAAATTTGGTTGGCAATTGTCCTTGATCCAGGAAGTCCACATCCCTACAGACTCCGCCGTGGAAAGGTTGGTTGGCCCTGCTAAGCCCATCGATAGTGCAAATTGCGCTGCTTGCTCACCGACGAGGAGGGTATGCTCTGTATACCTTAAGACAAGACGTGCCACACATGCCGCATGTTTGACCCCTCGTAGTGATCCCACAGCACCTACATCCATTGTGGCCTGCATGTGAAGGGAAGGTGTCAGAATCACACACAACTATTGGATTACTTACTGTATCGTTTTTCAAGGTTTTCCATCTGTACGGCGTTTTCCAAAAAACAATACCTTTTTTTTCTGCATCTCTGCATAAAACACGTCCAGATTCAGGCGCTTAATTTGGTCGTCTTCGCCAAAAAACAATGAACTTGAATGATGCTTTGTTGCACCATTGGGGTTTGCTCTACAGTCACAATGATATGGTTCCCAATAATATCTACTATAAGGACGAGGAGGAGGAGGAGGAGGAGGAGGAGGAGGAGGAGGAGGAGGAGTGAGAGGAGGGAGACGCGGAGGCTCACTGTTAAAGAATGATGGTGATGATAATGATGACGATGATGGCGATGATAACGATGAGGATGATGAGGAGGTCGTCGAATGTCAAAGATTGATGATGATGATGATGATGATGATGATGATGATGATGATGATGATGATGATGAGGAGGAGGAGGAGGAGGAGGAGGAGGAGGAGGAAGAGGAGGAGGAAGAGGAGGAAGAGGAGGAAGAGGAGGAGGAAGAGGAAGAGGAGGAGGAAGAGGAGGAGGAGGAGGATAATGTGGGTGATGATAACAACAACAATGGTGGGATGACTGCAATGATGCTGGCTATGATGACGATGACAATGTCGATTGCACTAACATGATGAAGTTATGATTCTTACGAACAGAGTTCAGTGGTGTGCACAGTAAGCAATTCCACAGTCTCTACCTCAATAGTGGGACTATCTTGGTACGGGGGAGAATGAAGGAAAAGTTGCTAATACAATAGAGCTAAATCTGGCATCTAGGGGGAGATTGAAGAGGCAGAACTTCAACCGCCGTGCGGGGCGACAGGCGATACTGATAACCCAAGGCTACATCTTGTACACTGCACAGGCCTGCTCAGTCAATCCCCTGGGTCCCAGACCGACTCCTGCGTGACGCGGCCGGGAGGGTCCCGCCCCGTTTTGTGTGGTGCCGGACCGATGCGCACGATAGCGCTCCCAGTCAACGCCTGGTTGTATGAGCGCCGCAGTCACCACGAGAGGGACCAGGTCAATCAGGGGTGCCACCTCTGCACGGTTGAGGGGATGGAATCATTGCTTCACTGTTTGGTACGGTTCCCAGAGGCGGCATACTTATGGGAAGTAGCTAGGGAGCTGTGGGGAAAGATTTCAGAGGAATTCCTTCCCGGAGGGCAGGAGGATGCTCCTCACAGGCATGGACCCTCCGAAGTCATGGCAACAGGGACAGAGACGGGGATTTCAAGTACTGAGACAACACACATTATGTGCCACATTGAAGTGCACGATGGGGAAGGGACAAATGCACAGATTAGAGGCCACACAAGTTCTATACAACCTTCTGCAGACGGACATCACGGCCCAGTGGCAAAGAACAAGAAGGCAAGCTCAATAAAACCCTGAGCAAGCCCGGGATATATTTAAGAAATTTCAGCAGAAAACGTTGGCAAAAGGGAAGATAGCAACAATAGAGGGGAACATATTAGCTATCCATTGGTTTGGGAATGACAGGCAACGACAGCGAGGCCAAGGCGGCAGTCGGGAAAGGGTAGTAAGTACTAGTAACTAAGTTAGGACAGAATAAAAGAAATATAGAAGCAGGATAAAGAAGTAGTAGAGTTTTATTTTAAAAAAAAAGAGAAGGGGTAAGTTAGAATTTGGGGCAGTAAAAAAAAATTAAAAAAAATAGGTGCAGTAGTAGGAAGAATCAGAACTCTATTAGGAATGGAAACAGACACTATTTAAAGGATGTTGGGATGAAGAGGTAGAAGGATAGGACATAAAGCATTCAGAAAGTAGGAAGAAAGTAGGATTTGGGGTTTAAGCATAGGAAAAACAGCAGGGTAGTTTAAGGTAGCGATCTCCTTTCCCGCGTCTTCTGCGGGTCCCGTCAAAAGCATAACACTAGGTAATGCTCTCAGCACCGGTCTTTATGTGGGGTGGCCGGCCCCTTCTTTCCAATTAAGTAATGTAAGTGCCAGGAAGATGAGCGATAGCGAACTTCAGAAATCAAACAGCATCATACACATGAGACTAGATAGTTGTGACCTCGAACCAATAGCAGAATTGCATCACGAGTTCCACCAAATAAGAGTACAGCAAAAGCTCATAATTGACAATGCTGGAATAGTCTCATCATCATCAACGAAGAACCAATGTCGATATCCTATCTGGCGCTCGGCGGCCAGACTACAAATGGCAGATCCTATCTAGCCTAATCGACAATGCCGCCGATGACGTCAACAGCTCCCCGAAGTACGAGTAGATCTCGGCCAATGCCGCACGCTTCAAGCACCAGGTATGTCTCTCGTATCACTCACAACCTTGTTCCTCAACTCACAGATGCCACATGCACCCAAGGACCACCATGCGCCCCATCCAGCATACAGCAGCGCAGCTCGGCTATGGCTGCTTGCTCCTTCCAACTCGCCCATGAGCGCGTGAGCGCTGGCCAGCGTTAGCGCAGCAGCACTTGCGCAGCATGCAGCCAGTGCCCGAATGTCCAATGCGTGGGCAGGCCCTTCCCTATATCGAAGTGGCCTGCTGCTGCGTGCTGTGTTGCGGTACTGGGCCCCGGCCCAGAAGCTTCTGGTAGGCCCCACGAGGCTGAGCCTCAATCCAAAGGCAACAGGCCCAGGGCCTGTGGTGGTTACTAGTGCCCAACTGCCCGCAGCCTGAGTTGGGTCCATGCTGCGTATCTCGCCCAGGGCCTGACTCAGATGCATTGGATAAAGGAGGCCAGGGCCTGGCCGCTTTCAACCAACTGGCGCTGCGCAACTGCCTGAATTTTCCCCCAGTTGCGAAGTAGTCCAAAAATAGGCCTCTTGTCGTCCGTCGAGCCTGCCTTCACTTAGGGCGACCGACGCTGATGCAAATAGGGGCCCAATAGGGCTTATTGGGGCCTTAAGCCTCGCATAAGCCTTTAAAAAAACAAAAAGAAAAAAGAAAAAAAAAACAAACAAAAAAAAAAAAAAAAAAAAAAAAAAAAAAAAAAAAAAAAAAAAAAAAAAAAA